AACTTCCACTTAGTTCATTTTTTATAACTTTTATTTATTTGCTGAGATTTTCTATTTTTCCCTTGTCTCAAGAGAATTTGTAATGTTGAATTTTTTATGATGATTTCTTTAAAATACTTGTCAGATCATTTCAATATCTGGTTCATCTCATCGTGGGAATAGATAATTGGTTTTTTTCTCATTCAAGTTATGATTTTTCTTGGCTCTTTGTAGGATGCGTGATTTCAACTGTGTCTGGATATTTTGGCTATTATGTTATGAGTCTCAGTCCTATTTACATTTTCTTATTTTGGGCTGGCCTGGTACGCACTGGTTAAGCCCAGTACACAGGGAGCTGGATTTCACAAGGCAACTGCGGTGTGCATCTGGCCCTAGCAGCCTGGAAAACAAACACTCAGGGTATGTGTGCCTGCATGCTCCAAATCTTTTTTTTTGGAGAGGTTTTTTTTTTTTTTTTTCGCTATAGGGCGCGTGCGCTCGCCAGACAGACAGAGAGAGACAGAAAGCGAGAAATCACCCCCCAGGGGGGATGGTCACGCAATCCCTTCTCCTCCATTCTCCTCTCGGGATCTTGGGCACGTACGCACGCGTGCCCGGCGTGAGTTTTAAGCCACCGGGTCCGGGACGCGAACCACGGTCGACTACGTGGGAGTCCAGCGACATAGCCATTACGCTAACTGCTGGTTCCCCATGCTCCAAATCTTGAAGGAATGGAGAAATTACGGAGAAAAGATTGCTACATTAGTGTACACTCATTGGGAGATGCTTTCTCATTCTCTTTCTGGCAAGCACCAATGACCTCTGACAATAAAAGACAAACAAAAAAGAATTTTGTTTTAACAAGCTATCATCCTGTTTAGGTTTAGTATACAGGTTCTAGCCTGCTTTTGTGGGTGGTTCTAGGTTCTAATGACAATATAATTTTCAGGGTCTTTATGGTTCTTTTGGGCTTGTTTTTTTTTTTTTTTAAGAGAAATTTTTGCTATAGGTACATGTGCTCACCAGAGAAACAGAAAGCGAAAAATCACCCCTCTTCTCACCCCCCAGGAGGGATGGCCACACCACAATTCCTTCTCCTCTATTCTCCTCTCCTCCCGGGATCTTGGGCATACACGCATACGCACTCAACATGAGTTTTAAGCCACCACTGGGTCCAAGACTTGAACTGTGGTCAAATATGTGGGAGTCCAGTGACATAACCATTATGCCATCTGCTGGTCCCTGTTTGGGTTTCTTGATTTGTCTCCTATCCCCGAGGCTCCCACTGGTTATTACTGGTGACAGTTGAAGAGCTGAAAGAAGTTTCTCCAGGCTGAGTTGCCTGGTGCCTTTAGGTGGGTGAAGGAAGTTTCCAGCCCACAGGCTAAAAAGCACTTCCTGGGCTGGGACTTGTTATGGCAGAATCCCCCTTACCCATGTCCTCTGTCAAGCAGTCTCTGAGTAGAATAGGGCGTGTCAGACAAAGAGAGCACAAGCCCCAGTCTGTTATTGTTAGGGGGACTTCCAACTGGTGCCCCTTGCTGTTTCTGTGGGGCTTGTCTAGTGTTGTTGAAGGACTCCTGTTCAACTTGAAGGAAGAAAAAGGCTACCCAGATGCCTTCGTAGATTGGCTGGCACCTGGGTTACCTTCTGTTGGGGGGATTCATAAGATGCCCTGCCACTATGTTACTCCTTTAGGCCTGGGGTCCTAACCAATTCATCTTTCTCTTTCTACGGTTCAGAGTTCTCTTTTGGTTGCTTCTTATGTTATTTCCAAGGCTTTTAGTTGTGCTCAGCAGG